TTGTAAATACATTACCTCATACAACTACCAACAAATCCAAAGTTGGTGCCGAAAATGAAAAGGAGGTTGAACTTATACTTGCAGGTGAACAGCATAGTTTGATTACAAACCCAACTGAAAACAGCGTACACGGGTCACGTACAGATATTTATTCGAAAAATACAAAGCAAGAATCTAAAAATAATCCTAATTGGCATAATCGCGGTCACAATCGGGAATTCCACCGTACACATCCAAATTTATTAAATCCCTTTGATGAGGTTGATCAGTCAAGACCTCATAATGCACATTCTCATGGCCACAACCACAATCACAATAGAGCATTCCATGAGCGGCATCCTGAAATGCCAAATCCATTCGCAACACCCGTTACGCTGCGTACTGTGCCTACAACTACGAATAATTTTGATTTGACGGATGCAAATCCACCAAATCCATATGCGGAGTCAACAACTCCTTTTAGTGTTCGACCTGAGATAGATTTGAGAGCAGGCCAGGATGTGGATTGCCAGTTTGATTGTGGAAATGGAAAATGTGTGAAGTCCTTTGAGGTGAGTAATGTCCACACTAAGTTGCTACTATTTTATTATATCGTTTTAATTTTCAGGTATGCAACGGCATTAACAATTGTGGTAATCGTAAGGATGAAGATAATTGTAAACATTTGGGCTATGAGGTGCGTTTAGCTGGTGGCGAAAATGCAAACATGGGCCGTGTTGAGGTTAAAAGTGAGTATTTTAATGCAATAACGTACATACATACATTTTGGATATACGTGCAAAATGAATGATTAAAACATCGAGCGTATTTGCTAAATGAACTGTATAGAGTTGATAATAACTGACGCCAATGAGCTTACAAGGCTGGGCATTTGGGATATGTTTAAAATTTAAAAGGTTAAAATGTTTTAGAAAATTATTCGCCGGAAAGCTTGACTAGAAGTATTTTCAGACATTTTAACAAATATAAAAAAACATAAAAAGTGCTTGTATATTTCAAGGAGACATATTTGTTTTTTATTTTCTGTGGACTTTTATGTTTTTTGTATAAAGATTTTGTCTGAGTATACGCTTAGTCAATTTTTCTCCGACGAATAATTTTCTAGAATATTTCAGACTTGCAGCGATCTCCCAAA